TTCAATCTAGCTGATTGTGTCGTCACACTGATGATTCACAGTCTGTTTTATTTCCAAAAGCTTATTCCTCCTTCCCCAAGAGCAAGATTTTATTTTCAGAGTCCCACACAATCCAGGGAGAAAGATCCATACTAAACAGCATTCACAAGATTTCAGTCCCTTAAAGCCTGTTCAGTAGTATTTTCTCTGGGATTTTTTCCAGAAACACAAACGTTTTCCGTCTCACTGCTTCTGTATGACCTTGAGCCAGCCTGCTGTTTAAGAGCTTGCTGTTTAAGAGTCAGTTTCGCTTTGAAGAAGTAGGTTGGCAAGCACGACTCAACGCTCCTTTCTCTTCTTTCGGTCAAATATTTTCACTCTTTTGCATATTAATGAGGTTATTCATAAATCAAAGGGTTACTTTGTTATTGTATATTTTCAGCCGTGTTTTTGTTCTCCTCTCCTCGGGGAATGGGGGTGGTTACTCACAGTGATTCTGCCAGAAAATGGCTTCCCGTCTCTGATCTGTGCTCGGGTGAATTTTCAGAGGGAAGGAAGATCAGGTTGCTGCCCAATCTTCTACCTTCTGGAGCCCACCAACTACTTCAGAGAGACCTTTCCTGGTCTCCCCTTCAGTCCCCCCATTTCTAGAGTGACCCTAGACTGGGCGGTTCCAGCTTTTCCCAGGAGCTGTTCCCGGCAGCTGCTGGCTTCACTGTGACCAAGCTCCGCCCTTCCCCTTTGTGTAAAATTGAAATGGTTGTATCTTTATTTTACAGTTGACTTTCTGCTTGCAGAAAGGCTAATAGAAGACCTCTTCATGGGGCTTATCTGTATCTTAATTTAGTATGTATTTTTATCCTTTTGAGTATTTTTCTCCTTTTGTCCTTTTCCATTTTTTCCTCAACCCTTTCTACTTTTGTTTACAGATAGGTGAGAGGATTCGTGTCATCTTGGATATGGAAGACAAAACGTTAGCTTTTGAACGAGGCTATGAGTTCCTAGGAGTTGCATTCCGAGGACTGCCAAAGACATGTCTTTATCCAGCAGTGTCTGCTGTTTATGGTAACACTGAGGTGACGTTAGTTTACCTGGGAAAACCTTTGGATGGATGATACTCTTGTTTTGTTTTTTTATGGGACATGAAAATCAAGATGACAGTATGGAGGAACCTGCATGTTGATTAATAGGAAAACATGGGTGAAATGTTTGACTCCATGTCAGAGAAACATCTAGGAAGACTAAAATGTGCGATCTAGAAGACCAGCTGTATGAAACAGAGTGCATTGACATTTCCTTCTTTCTGCTGGACCAGAAAAAGCCTCAGGGGGCTGCAGTTGGTTGGATAAGCAGTTAACTGCATGCATGTTGGATAAAACTTTATTGCAAAGGTGGCAATGTGGAATCCTATACATATTTAAGGAAATGTTTAATCGATATGGTTGAGGATGTTTCCTGAAACTTGTGAGTAGTGCGTATTGTGGAAAAATTTTCAATTTTTAAACTATTTGCTCCCATCCGGCCTTTGATTCAGTGTGTTTTACCAAAGGTAACTGGTTGGGTTTTATTTAATATATTTTAAATGTACTTAAGAAGTATGGCCTCTGGACCACACTTCTCTAGATTTAACCATTGCGCAGCTACACTGAAGTGTATTTTTAAAACTGTTTATACAGAAGGCTTTAAGAACTAGAACAAAACTAAAGGTTGCTTTTAAGTGAAATGTAAATTTTGAAATAAATAAATCACACACTACATGGCAGTTGCCAGCTTTTGTTGGGACTGGAAACATGTATACAAATGCACGTATTTTGTTTTACGACATCTCTTGCGGCAAATGGAGCTATATATACCTATTGTTAAATGATAAAATGTAATAGAACAGCGTGTGCATTCTTGTGTGTAAGGACAAAGCCTATTTCTAATGTGAGCATTTTTAAAAATTAGGATTCCTAATTGCTTCCCAATTGGCTGCAGTTTAAAAATTTAATAAGAAAAATATTTAAAGCATTAGCTTGAATATGTTGAAATTTAAATATGACTCAAACTGCTCACACTAAAATTTCAGTCATGAAGATGTTCTTTAAATATATTAAAATCTGTTACAGAGGCTGAGAAGGCTTCCTACAAAGGTAATGTGTTTCATGATAAGCCAGAGATCAAAGAGAAGACTCTGGCTTGTTGTTTATGAGCAGCTATGTATGCTGTCTGAATGCTCCCTCTAGAACAGTGGTCCCCAATCTTTTTGGGACTGTGGACCAGTTGAGCCTTTGAGGAAGGCGGGGCACCCCCTGCGTGAGGCACATGCACAAAGTGGTTGGGGAACATGTGTGCACCACCAGTGCTAGCGTGAGCGCTCCCCTACCCCTTCGCGTATGCACAGGGGCGCCTGCACGCCTGCGTGGGCACCTGCCCACCCCTTCGATCGAGCACATGCATGAAGGGGTGCGGGAGCGCTCATGCCAGCGCTAGCATGTGTGCGCAAAGCAGCTGTGGGGAAGGGAGTGTGTGCAGTGGGGATGGGAGGTCTGACTCCACAGCCAGGTCCGGCTGCGGCCACAGACCGGGGGTTGACCTCTGCTCTAGAAGGAGAAGCTAAACAAACTACACATTTATTTATTGTTTACTTGCAGATAATGAACTTTGGCCTTTTTCTGTCCTGAGAAGCTAAAATATTATGTCATGAGTTGGTATTGTCTTGTGTCTGTCTTGTGGAAGAAACAAGCCAGAGTTACTGGTTCACAAGTACAATAAACAAACATCAGTGGAAGGTCTACATTTAATTCATCTAACTTCCTGTAGGAGAGGCAAAGCAAAGAACTGTGCCCCACCATGCTGGCTTATTCACAATAAGCCTGAATTGTTTACAGTTACGACCTACTGCAGTGGTTCTTAACGTTGGATAACCCAGGTGCTCTTGAATTGCAACTTGCAGAAGTCTTAACAACTACTTGTGCTGGCTGGGGTTTCTGGGAGTTGTGGTCCCAAGTACACCTGTGTTACCAAAGTTTGGCAAGCACTGGCTTATTGCAATGTAAGAATGCGGATGATTATTTTTGTACAAATGAAACACTTGAAGAAGATGAGGCAACTGCTTTCCCCCATTTTTCTGCCACCCATCTTCTGCACAGCTTGTACGTCTTAATCTTGTAAGTCCAAAGGCTAGGTCTTGGTACTAAAATTTTATTTTGTTCTACCTTACATATTTATTTGAGGGTAAGTGATGAAACACTTCCAGTGCAATTCTGTGCATGTTTTTAAAAAGTAAATCCCATTTACTGGGGTTTATTCTCAGCTAAATATGCAAAGGATTGTTGCCTTTGAGGGTGAAAGGAGATACTGTTGATGTTGTTTACTACATAATGTGAATTATGCAGTATTGCAGGCATCTGATAGCCCCCTCTCTTAAGTGTGCAAAAGAGATCAATTCTCTTAGGTATTTTCATTTTTGTTTACACCATGGAAAGCTGACTGAGGTCTCGAGGTACTGCTAAATGAGACTGTATTTGTAACAATAGGCTTTCAGCTTCTAGCTGGAGAGTGCTTTGTCGCTGCATGAAAGCTTTAAAATGGTAGTTCTTTGATAGTGCCATTGATCCTCAGTGAATAGTATCCACAGTGGTTATGTTGTGATCTTCCCAACAGTATGACCTTGTGGAAGGCCAGAATGGGCAAGCTCCTAGGGTTGGAGGATGCACCAAGAAACCATTGGGGGTCATGTTCTTTCACTGCTGCTGCAAACCTGCTATAGCTGACATTTTTGCTGCAAAAAAATTGAGTCTGCTAGGAGACATAGTGTTTTGGGGGAATGCATCTTGTTTCCCACCCAAATCTTGCTTCTAACAACCCATTAAGGGTGTAATTCTGCCAGAAATCAAGCTGCACATTCCCCATGCATTTTTGTTTCATAATGGACTCACTGGGATTTTTTCAGTGATGGAACCTTGACAGCAAGGATTTTAAAAGACCTGTGTGTACCTGTGGACTGCATGTTGCCCATATATGTTGTAGGCTTAGCCTGCTTGCCATCTGTCCTACTCTCTTGGTACATTAGCACATCTAGCTTTAATCTTCCTTCCAAAACAATGCTACTGCCTCCTTATAATAAATGTAGAAGGAATTAATGGCTGATGACTGGTTTTGGATTGTGAGTCACCTACCTGCTAGCACTGTTCTTCTGGCAGGAATGGTAGTGGTGATAGCATCAGGTTAGACAAAAAAGGAGTCTCTTCCCTGTTTGCTGAAAAGATGGGAGTGGCTTCATTGGGAGAGTCCTGTATATGCATGTTCCTTACTGTTTGGGCTTGACTATTGTTCTTCCATTCTGTTTTCCTCCACAGTCAGAGACCATAAACGTGCATTTGGGGCCTGCATGTGTGAACTGATATTTCAAAAACATTTGTTTTATGTGTAATGTGAGTAACTCAGCAGGGCAAATCCTATCATGGTCTGTTCTTAAAGTGAAATTTTAAAAAAATAGATGAATACCTTTCAATGCACACTACTAAAAGTAGTGATTGTATTGGGAAAGGTTGGATTTTTGAAGGAAACATAAATAACTATGCTATAAAAATCACTACAGTGAGATCTTATGATATAACTGTGGGAAAAAGGAAATAATTCTGTTAGATTTATTCATTCTTCCTGCACAGCACTGACTAGATTAGCCTCTACATTTATTTATGTATTTCAAGTTGAGAGGGCTAATCCAGAGAAATGTATGAAAGAGTTCTGTTAGGTTTTACAATATCCCACAGATATGGTATGCCTTGCCTTCTTTTCCCATTCATATGGCATATTGGTGCATAACTCTTTTGGGCATAGGGGACAAATTTATGTATATAACTGTCTTATAACTTATTACCTGGAAACCAACTGCAAGCTGTAAAAAATATGAAATAAATTGCTAAAACAGAAGACTATTGCATATAATGTTTTGTAGCTGTGTGTGTGAATGGAGTAAAATGGTCTGTTGTAGTGGTTCTAGCATAGTTTCTGCTACATAGAATAACCAGCTAAAGTGCTTATTTGCCCTTGCCTTTAGAGCACAAGTAGGCACCTTTCGTAGGGTAGGGGACCGTTTTTCTAGTCAGCCAACAGGTACAGAGCCACACCTCCAAAGAAGACGTGAACTGAAGTGAAAAGGAGTTGATTGATTTTTCTGCTACATTTGATAAAAATATTTTATATGTGGACAACTGAAAGAATCAAACAAAATATAGAATACATTTGATTATAGAATACATTGAATACATTGTGGAATAATTTTAAACTAACTTTGGAAACCACAGACATTGTTTAACAGCGACTGGCTGTGGAAATAACAGACTTGCAAAGGCTGGCTAAATAACAAAAGACAGCTGCTGGGGAAGAGACCAATAATTAAAGGACTCATCCTTCAGTGCACATTAACATTTATCTTTCAATCAACATCTAACACTCAGTAAACATTGCTCTGATTGTAATCAGCAGCTGGTTTAGCAATTTGCTGGTGACTTTGGGGAGCACTAAGGAAGAAAAATATTGAAATCACAGGGAGCACTTTATGTACCATTTCAGTAAGCTGGCTTAAGCATATGTAAACTATCACTGTACCAGACATTGTGGCATTCACCTCATTGCAGAACACACACTTCATGTAGGATGACTGTCTCAGATCATTACTTCTTGAGTCATGGTGGTAACTCTTGCTGTGGGTCTGGATCTCACTCTTGGTCAATATTGGGGATCTTTTCCAAAGTAAAAGAGAGACAGCCCTTTATCAGAGGATTGCAGAGCTTGCAGTGAGGGGGCAGAAAAGTCCAAAAATTATCCAGATTGTTTGTGCCGTACCTCTTTACATTCAGTACAAGAGACAGAACTATTTGATTGAACTGTTAAAAGCAATTTTTATAAGGACTGTCTATGATATATTCCTTCCATTATTTTTTCATAGTGTACCCACTGATACATTGTGTTAGATGCTAACTTAGCTTACTAAAAGGATCAGCTGACATTTCAGGGGAGCTAATGATGGGGGACAAGGTAATACCTAGGAAGCTCTTCCTTGTTTTTGGAATCAAGTATCCACCACAGAGTATTTTTTATGAACCATGTAAGGAGATGAGGAAGAGTCAAGAGAAATACTTTGGAGTAGTTAGAACTAGAAGACTATAACAGACTATGACTGAAGCTGCAACTAATGTTGAAATACTGAGGAATTTGTTCCACTGATGAAACAGGTGAATTTAGCCTTTTTTGCTCCCAAATAGTTTTTTTCCTCTTCTGCTGAGGTGCTTCAACTTTTTCAAGCCAGAACAACCTTCATGGATATTTTCCTGTGGTTGATTATGTTACATGCTTGTAAAGATGAGGGGAGGGAGGTGTCAGTAGGTGGTGCTTTGGTGGTGTAGGCAGTTGGGGCATGAAGTTCAGGATCAGAGGAACACCTCCCCCCCCTGCACACATTCTTTCCTCTTCCCCCAATCATCCTTTTTTGTTTTTAATTCTTACATATATGAGATTAATGGCTGATCACCCTATATCACCTCATTGCCAGATCATTGTTATTTTATTATTTCCCATATTTATGTCCCCACCAGTTCCCTGTCAGATAGCAGAGGTGGGATTAGAGGATGGAAGGATCAGCAGAGGTGGAACCAGAGGAAGGAAGAAAAGTAGGGGGGTTATGGTCTGGAATGTAAATCAAATTACATCCTGTCTGACCAACTTCCAAATCAATCTGCAGCCCTTTTGTGAGCACTGACTGCTTACGC